TTGTCTCTCTCCGCACCTCCCCTGCTCGCCTTCTGTCTCTCTCAAAAATAAATAAATATTAAAATAAAATTATGTTAGGATATGCAAAGTAGTTGGACATGAAATAGTTTTTATCGAGATGGTAGGATAATGATGGTTTCCCCCCTTTTTTCCCCACAAATGATTTTTTTTTATTTTCTAAGAATATATCATAATAGTGATTTTTTTTTATACCACGAAAAGAAATCTCATGTCACTTTCATCTTCTTACTTCATCGTTTTATCTGGCTGTATTTGATTTGGAAGTTGCTATGCGTGTGCACACACTAAGCCAGCGCCATGGAACAGGTGGACAGCGTAGTGGGAGATGCCGGCAGGTGTCGGAGGCGCGGCTCCTGTGTGGTTGCAGCTGCCCCGACTGCTGCCATCTTCCAGGGAGGCGTGTCCCCTTCTCATCACATGCTTACCAACACTGACGCTCTTTCTTTCTTTTTAAAATTTTTTTAAAGTTTATTTATTTTTTTGGAGAGAGAGAGAGAGCACAAGCTGGGGAGCGGCAGACAGAAGGAGAGACAGAATCTCAAGCAGACCTCACACCATCAGCACAGAGCCCGATGTGGGGCTCAAACTCACAAAACCGTGAGATCAGACCTGAGCCGTGATCAAGAGTCAGACACTCAGCCAACTGCACCACCACCCCGACGATCTTTCTTTAAAAACAGTTTTTTCCCTACCCTATGACCCAGCAATAGCACTGCTAGGAATTTACCCAAGGGATACAGGAGTACTGATGCATAGGGGCACTTGTACCCCAATGTTTATAGCAGCACTCTCAACAATAGCCAAATTGTGGAAAGAGCCTAAATGTCCATCAACTGATGAATGGATAAAGAAATTGTGGTTTATATACACAATGGAATACTACGTGGCAATGAGAAAGAACGAAATATGGCCCTTTGTAGCAACGTGGGTGGAACTGGAGAGTGTGGTGCTAAGTGAAATAAGCCATACAGAGAAAGATAGATATCATATGTTTTCACTCTTATGTGGATCCTGAGAAACTTAACAGAAACCCATGGGGGAGGGGAAGGAAAAAAAAAAAAAGAGGTTAGAGTGGGAGAGAGCCAAAGCATAAGAGACTGTTAAAAACTGAGAAAAAACTGAGGGTTGATGGGGGGTGGGAGGGAGGGGAGGGTGGGTGATAGGTATTGAGGAGGGCACCTTTTGGGATGAGCACTGGGTGTTGTATGGAAACCAATTTGACAATAAATTTCATATATTGGGAAAAAAAAAACAAAACCAAAAAAACAGTTTTTTCCCCTAACTTGTAAGTCGTTGTCATACCATGGTTAACAGCGGTGCATAAACTGAATTTGAATCTTGGTGCAGATAGTCTTGGTACCTGGGCAACGAACTGCCCTGAGCCTCGGACAATGGAAATAACAGTACCACCTTATAGGGTTATTGTGAAAATTAAATTGGATGGTGTTTGGAATGGACCTACGGTGCCTGGCACAGTGTAGGGTAAACAAAGAGTATGGCATTTTGATGTTATCTTGCTCCTTTTTAATTCATGTGGTTAAACATCTTTCGAATATTAGCCGTGAGTACTACTTCTTTTCTGAATTGCCTGCTCGTGACTTTTCCTCATTTGTCTCTTGGTGTCTTGATTTTACAGTGCGTTTGGGTGAAGGACTGAGAGCATTCCGGGAGGGTCTTTTCCCTGTGGCCCCAATGCCTTCCATTTTCTCTAGGGAACGTTTCTCACTGGTTAGTGAAGACTCCTCTCTCCTCGAAATTGGCACTGTTCCCTTCCTGAGAAATTCTCCTCCGCTTCAAAGGGTCAGTCTTTACAACCACTGATTCCCCCGGACAGCTGCACCCGCAGGTCTCACCGGCATGATTTCTTTCTCCATCCGTTTAAGTTGTGTTCCATCAGAGTGGCCATGGTCAGAACCCACATGCTCAGAGAGGCTGTTTCACCAGCATGTGTACCTAACCAGTATGCTCCAACTCGGCCCCTGTCATCACACAGGCTGCCAAGTAGCTGACCTTCCTGAGCAAAGTGCAAAAGCCTAAGGGACTTCTTAGATAAAAGGCACATTCTTAAGATAGTTTCATCTCCTTTTCTTTTTGCCTACATGTCCATCTTGCCTCACGGGGAGAGTCCACTCTTTTCCCATCATGGGGCAGACAGGACCTAGGCCATAGAAGTTGGATGTTTCTAAACTGCAAAAGGAGTCAGTCTCCCCTCAGCCAAATGATTCTTGCCAGAAAAATTCTTGTGGATAAATGTGTTTGGTGTGGGGGATTCTCTGGATGGCTTGGTGGGAACATAAAGTTGGCTACTGATCTTAAGACCTATGTCTGGGTGAGGCATAGGGGTGGGGGCATGCCGGTATCCCATGGCCCAGAGGCCCTGGAGGGGGGCCTCCCCAAAGAAGCACAACCCCCTAGAGAGTTGTGGGGCTTTCCCATGAAGACCTTCCCTAAATGCGAAGTCACCCTCTGCGTGGACAGAAGCAGCACTGAAGCTTCCATCAGGCTGTTAGACTGCGAGACAGAAAATCTGGGTTTGAGTCGAGGCTTTGCCTTTTGTTAGCTTTGTAACCTGGGGAATGAGCTTTGTGTCCTCATCTGGACAATGGAGGGTAACGACCCTGGTTCTGCTCACCTCCCTGCCTGACTCTGGAGTGAAATGAGCAAAGTGGGCAAGTTAGAAAGGCATAAAAGACAAGAATCTCTCCTCCTCTTAGAGACATGGCGGTCAGCACAGTGTCTGTCCCAGCATCTCACGTGGAGGCCAGAGAAATGAAAGGGCTCCTTGTCTCCAGAAAGAGGTCTGAAGAAGAAGAAACTAGATTCGGAGTATGTGTCTTTTCCTGTGGGTCTTCTGTCCTGGCATCTGAGCCAAGCAGTGGCACTGCTGGGGGCCTAGTATTTCCTTCCCTCAGTCTGCCGTCTTTTTAAAGGTTTTTTTTTTTTTTTTTTTAACATTTATTTTGAGAGAGAGAGAGTGCACATGTGAGCAGGGGAGGGGCAGAGAGAGAGGAATAGAGAATCCCAAGCAGGCTCTGTATGCACACTGTCAGCACAGAGCCTGATGTGGGGCTCAATCTCACAAACCATGAGATCATGACCTGAACCAAAATCAAGACTCGGACGCTTAACCGACTGAGCCACACAGGTGCCCCTCTGCCATCTTTTTTAATCTGGTAAGAAGCTTGGAGTCAGCTAGAGAAGCAGAAATGCTGCCTTGGTACTGAAGGGAGTATCTGGAGGGGTCACCTGTGTTTATTTTTTATTTTTTTATTAAAATTTTTTTAATGTTTATTTATTTTTGAGAGAGACAGAGTGTGAGCAAGGGGAGGGGCAGAAAGAGAGGGAGACGCAGAATCCGAAGTAGGCTCCAGGCTCCAAGCTGTCAGCACAGAACCCGATGCAGGGCTCAAACTCACGACCTGCAGGATCATGACCTGAGCCGAAGTCGGACACTCAACCAACTGAGCCACCCAGGCACCCCCACCTGTGTTTAGAATGGTCAGTATTGTGGATAAGTTCAGTTTCACAAACCTGACATGGCCTCTAGCCTGTGATGTTGGTCAGGGACACTAACGCAGAAGCAGCAATTAGAATTCAGGTGATACAGGCTGCGGTAGAAAGCAGACAGGAACAGTGGAAGCAGGAAGGATAGCCACTGCTCTTCAGGGGATGCTGAGTGGAGCTTGGTGGATAGGCAGGGACTGGCCAGTGGTCCGGGTAGAATGGTGGATCTTGAAAGAAAAGTACAGGTCTGGAAATAAGCCTCTCATCTCCATACTGGATAAGGAAGAATTTCTCCCTGGGAGAGAAAATACGAATGCTTATATATCCAACACATAGATGAATCAGAGGGGAAGAATGGGTGGCTGGAAAGTCGTGGGACCCAGTGAAATACAGAGCTTTTTGTTTTTCACTCTGTCCTGCTGAAATGGCATGTGCCTCTAGCCATTCTCTGGCCAATTTGGAGAGGATGGTCAATGATCATTTTTTTAATGTTTATTTGTTTATTTTGAGAGACAGAGCAATCAGGGGAGGGGCAGAGAGAGAGGAAGATCGAGGATCCCAAACAGGCTCCATGCTGTCAGTACAGAGCCTGATGTGGGGCTTGAACTCATGAACCATGAGATCATGACCTGAGCCAAAATCAAGAGTTGGACGCTCAACCAACTGAGCCACGCAGGCGCCCCAATCAATGATCATTTTAATCTATCAAAGAGGCTGTTTGCTCCTTAGTATATTTTTCCATGTGACCTCAGAGTTCAAGGCATATTTCTGACTTTGTTTTTATTCTGATGGTTTGGTCTGTGTACTCAGTTAACACAGAAATCCTTTCAGCAGTTGAGAAAGGTGAATGCTGGTGTTCCACAGCCTTGTCCATCACATCCACCTGTGCCCTTCCATAAGTCTCTTAACCTTCCTCTTGAACAAGATGCTCTAGAATACAAAGCAAGTAAGGAAAATAAGGAGCGTGATCCAGTGTAGTAGGAAAAACACAGAATTCCACCCCCAAAATATTCATTTTAATCCGGATTCACTCCGAGGTGAGCCAAGAGAAGTCACTTCCATGTCTGTCTCATTTTCTTCGCCTGTACAATGGGGATGCTCATCCCATCTGGCTGCCTCAAGCTAGTTTGAGGATAAATGGGATTCAGAATGTTTAGTGCTTTCCAAGTGTATTGGGCTGGATTCAGGCAGCATTTCAGGGTGACACTCAGCTCTGGCATCAATTTTAGCGTGGGTTAGACAGGAATCTGCCCTGGTCTTTGAAGCGCATCTCGACAGGCAGTGTCTGTGAAGGTCAGAGCTGCTTTGACATGTCTTACCGACAGAGCTTCATTTCCTAGTACACACTCATGTGGCTAGGGCGCACAGAAGGTAAAGGGGATAAGGTCCCCATAATCTTTTTGCTAAGCCTGCATACAGGAGCCCAGATGCTCGCCTGGCTCCTTTTGACACCTACCCCACTGTGTCTCCTTCAGGTCCAGTAGTGGTGCTGGATTTGGAGAGCGTGGAGCCCCTGAGCCTGAGCCTCACACCTGCCTCTGCTCCAAAGAGCTGTGGCTGCAGTGGGCTGGCTGAGACTCTTCACAGCACCTGCCTGGGACACTCTGAGACCGTCCTCCTCCACAGCTGCCTTCTCCCGGGCTCCTGAGCCTGCCCTTCTGAACTCACTGGTCCGTGCCGCAGTTAGAAGCCCTGCCCGGAGCTGGATCCTTATAGTAGGTATTTTCCTTTCTCTTTCTGCCAGAATAGGATGCATTTTGGTCCTGGGGCATCAGACTGGTAGAGTGGCAGGAAGCAGAAGCTGCCAGTCTGGTCCTGGGATCTCACTGATCATCATATCTTCCTGCTCTGCCCCAGTAGACTTCGAGTCACAGATCCAGGCAGCTGGCAGTCTAGGGATTGCTTGCAGAAGCTTTGTATGGTTGTGGGACCCCAGGAGGTGGGGGGGGGGGGGAGGAAGTTTCTAAAGCAGAGCTTAGAAGAAAGAGATGCACCACTGGACGGTTTCAGCTCCTAAGGACAATCCCTGTGTCCTCATTAGGAACAATTTTATTAATGAGCCACCCAAGCTGCAGGAAGAGAGAAGGAAAGCATAATTAATTATGACCCCTCAGAGAAGCGCTTACAGTCGGGGCAGTCAGAGGAGGAAGGCGTGTGCTGCTTCCGAGTCTTTAGATGTGGCCGCAGCTCTGGGAACTAACTTTGCAGTTGAAGGATTGGAGCTTTCCTCTTTCTGCAAGATCGGGTATCAGCTTATTGAGCATTGAATTCCTGCCTGACCCTGCTCCCCTCTTCCCGGGAGTGAAAAGGAAGTCAGTATTTGCTTTTCCAGCAAGGTCACGGATCACCTGACCAAATCCTTTAACAGCTGGGAAGCCAGTGCTGCTGTGCTGAACTCATGAGCCATCAGCTCTGGTCCAGCAGCCAGAACCTCGCTTTCCGCAGGGAGACGACTTCTCTCGCTCCAGGTTATGGCAAGGGGAGGATGCCAGGGGAAGGTAATGTGGTTACAGCTTTCCTCCCGACAATTTTCTCTTCCCGAAGCTCCAGATTCAGCTGCTGCATTGCAGGGAAAAATGACAGACACTTGCCGAAAAATGTGAGACCGGAGTTAATGAGGTTGTGTTAATGTGTCATTTATTGAGAATGAGTTATCTCTTTGTTTCCTGAGTCGGCGGGAAGGGAGCTGGCTGGAGAACTCCATAGGCAGAATCTTTTTTAGGAGTGCATCTCACCTCCCCGGGTGTTTGGGCTTCAGTGCTCTCGCTCTCAATGTTAAGTAGTACTGTCAGATGCCTCCTGCTTCTCAGCACAGGGGACATTTACACTTGAAGGCATGGGGCCCTGGAATGGGGAAACAGGAAGCTCTCGTCTTTTTGGCAGGATTCGTAAGAGGTACGGGTAATTTTTTTTTCCCTCTTTTGGAAAGAGTGCTTTGTCTTTGCAAGTGATTGTGCAGGGATTGACAGGGTTGCTGTTTGGTGCACTACCTTGCTAAATATTTGACTTTGTAAGGTTGAATTCTCCAAGAATCATCGTGGCAGTACGGCTGTGCTTTGAGCCAAGGTTTCTTTTCAAGGAAATCCAAGGTGCTATTTATTTTGGCATGCGGCCTGTCCTAGGATGAAATACGGCATTTTTATGATTGCAGAATAAAGAGAGGTTTGAAGAGAATAAAAGCGCAGAACTAGGTTTCAGTTTCAGGACTAAGTAAAGGAAGGTTTCTTTGTATTTGGATTCGAGGTTAGGAATGAGACTGTAAATGGCATCATAAAAGGAATAAATGTGGGTAGGGAGAAGGTGTAAGTATACACGGCAGGAGTCGGGCTGACTAGGGGAAATCAGACTGTTTCGTCTAATGTGGCCTCGTAGTTACACAGGGACTGTCAGACTGACTGCCTCTGTGGTGAATTTTGAACGGGCAGCCTCAGTCTCCATCTCTTCACTACCCACTGGCTTTGAGAGGCAGTGTGGAGTGATGGAGTGACACAAACTGTCCTACCCCTAATTTACTGGGAACTTTGGATTGGCCACTTAGCCTCACTGGGCCTTCAATTCCTCATTTGTAACTTGGAGAGGATACCATGAACTGAGTGTCTACCATACGTTAGGTTGTGAGGGTGTGGAGGTGGGGGTGAAGGGCACAGAAATGAGTCCTGCAGGAATTCTGACCTTCACAAGCTTGTAGAATAGGAGGGGAGAAGAGCTAGAGACAGTTGAAACTTGAAACACTCGAAACATACAGCTATATATACTCGAAACATCTAGAATGTGATGAGCTAATGAGAGGGCATTCTTGATCCTGGGATAAGCCATAAACAAATGAAAAGTTACATAACAGGACCAGGCATTATAAGGTTCTGAATATCAAGGATACAACTTAACGGCATCGAGTAATAAACCGCTTTATGTCAGAATTGTTAATGCTTTAGAAGGTTGCAAAATTCCATTTGAAAGGGGAATTCTGTCCAACAAGGCTAATTTTCATATTCAGTTGTGTTGCAAAGTAGCATGCGTTGATGCGGCAATTATTCTTCCATTCCACTCACCTAACCACATGAAATCTACACCCTCAGCTAAAATCTAAGATGTCCACCATAAGGACGATGGGCCGAGTACAGAAGTCCGGGGTGGGTGGAGGCCGGCAGCGGCATGATGTGGGCATGACAGTTCTCTCCTTTCCTTCCTGTGTCTAGCCCTTTCGAGTGCAAGCTTGCTATGCCCTCTTCTTCAGAGTGTTGGGGTGTCAGCTCCATTTGATTTCTGTAACCTTGGAATGATTAATTTTAGCAAAATTCAAGTTTAAGAGAACTATTAGAAGTCTCCGTAGAGTTCTTTTTAGTGAAATTTGATCTAATGTGTGCTGCATAATTATTTGAAACCCTAGGATCTGATACATCAAGGGCTGAATCCTAACTCAAACCAAAGCTGGTGAGTGTGACTGAACTCTCCAACAGGATGGTGGGTTTGTGCTGAAGGTCCTTCTGCACCCAGGTGGCCCCCTCTTGCTTAGGAGGAGCCTTGTTGTGTGGTGTCCAGTCCTAGAGAAGGAGATCACACACACCTTTGGCCAAGAGACCTTACAAGAGAACGGTCTCCTTATCCGTGTCCAGAAGGCGTTTTGTGCATACTTGTGAGAGAAGCAGAGAAGCATCCAAGTCAGGAACATCTCCCCTCACAGAGAGAGCTAGGGATCGGTCACAGCATTAGGGCTGGGCAAAGGTTTATAAATCACTTCTGTTCCCAGGACACGACTGGAGTTGGCTAGATTTGAGGGCAAATCCTGTTCTAACACCTGCTTGTTATGGGACTTTGGCAGGCCTGTAAACCCTCTCAGCCTCAGTCTCCCTATCTGAAAAGTGGGGACCATAATAATAATGTCCTTGGGGCTATGGTGACGACTGCATGAGATAATTCGAGCATGTCAGGTGCTCTGACACTTGCCTGTTGCTCAGTAAAGCTGTGGGGTAGAAGGAAGGAGGAGGGGGAAACCATGATGATGATGGAGAGACAGGCTGAGGGGCCATGCCTGGGGTTTGTGTCCTCACCCTTTCTTCCCTAGGCTTCACCTCACAGCTGCCAAGCCTTTCCTGCCCTCCAGCATCTGGGAGGCTCCCCCACCGACTGTGGACCTGTGGCATTGAGATCAGTGGCAGTGTCCTCTGTCTAGAAACCCTTTCTTTTCTTTCTTTTTTTAAAAAAATTATATTTATTGGGGCGCCTGGGTGGCTCAGTCGGTTAAGCGTCTGACTTTGGCTCAGGTCATGATCTCACGGTTTGTGAGTTTGAGCCCCGCGTTGGGCTCTGTGCTGACAGCTCATAGCCTGGAACCTGCTTTGGATTCTGTCTCTCCCTCTCCCTCTGCCCCTCCCCTGCTCATGCTCTGTCTCTGTCTCTCAATAATAAATAAAAATGTTAAAAAAATTTTTTTAATTTAAATTTAAAAATTTAAAAATATATATATTTGTTTTTTAATTGAGATCATTGAAACATAACTGACATAATATTGTGTTAGTTTTAGGTGTACAACAGGACTTGATATTTGTATTTATTGTTAAATGGCTTCTACAATAAGTCCAGTTAACATCCGTTAACCGTAACCATAGTTACAAACTGTGTAACACCATAGTTACATAGCTACAACTATGTGAAATATGATGAGAACTTTTAAAAAATTCCTGCATAGTAGGGGTGCCTGGGTGGCTAAATTGGGTAAGCGTCTGACTCTTGATTTCAGCTCAGATCATGATCTCAGGTTCATGGGATTGAGCCCCACGTTAGGCTCTGCACTGTCAGTATGGAGCCTGCTTGGGATTCTCTCTCTCCTTCTCTCTCTGCCCCTCCCCTGCTTGTTCTCTCTCTCTCTCTCAAAATAAATAAACATTAAAAAAAAAATTCCTGTATAGTTAACACACAGCATTATGTCAGTTTCAGGTGTATATTCTGATTCAACCATTCTATACATTACTCAGTGCTATCATAAGTGTACTGTTAATTCCCTTCACCTATTTCACCCATCTCCCCACCCACCTCCTTTAATCATCAGTTCTCTATAGGTAAGAGTCTGGGTTTTGTTTGTTTTTTTTTTTTTATTAAAAAATTTTCTTAAGTTTATTTATTTTGAGAGAGATAGAGAATATGTGCACATGCGCAAGGGAGGGGCAGAGAGAGAGAGCGAGAGAGAGCATCCCAAGCAGGCTCCATGCTGTCAGTGCAGAGGCCGATGTGAAGCTCAAACTCATGAACCATCAGATCATGACCTGAGCCGCAATCAAGAGTCAGATGCTTAACCAACTGAGCCACCCAGGTGGCCCTTGTCTCTTGTTTTCTTTGTTTTTGTTTTCTTTCTTAAATTCCACATATTAGGGAAATTATATGGTATTTGTCTTTCTCTGACTGACTTATTTCAGCTAACATAATACCTTCTAGACCTATCTATGTTGTTGCAAATGGTAAGATTTCATTCTTTTTTATGGCTGAGTAATATTCCATTATATATATGTGTGTGTATTGATATATATATATATATCACACTTACAATGATAGGTTTTAAGATCTACTCTCTTAACAACTTCTAAATACGCAGTACAGTGTTATTAACTATAGTCCCCATGCAGCACATTATATCCCTATGACGTATTTATCTTCTAACTAGAAATTTGTACCTTTTGACCACTGTCACCCATTTCACCAACCATCCCCACCCTGCCTCTGACAGCCACCAATCTGTTCTATGTATCTATGGAATCAGGTTTTTTTAGATTCCACAAACAAGTGAGATCATATGGTATTTGTGTTTCTCTATTTCACTTAGCATAATGCCCTCAAGATCCATCCATAATTGTCACAAATGGCCAAGACTTACTTCTTTGTCACGGCTGAGCAATATGTCATTGTATGTATGTATACACCACTTCATTATTTTTTTTTAATTTTTAATGTTTATTTTTGGGAAAGAGAGAGAGAGAGACAGAGCTTGAGCAGGGGAAGGGCAGAGAGAGAGGGAGACACAGAATCTGACACAGGCTCCAGGCTCTGAGCTGTCAGCACAGAACCTGACATGGGACTCAAACCCACAAATTGTGAGATCATGACCTGAGCCGAAACCAAGAGTCGGACACTTAACTGACTGAGCCAGCCAGGTGCCCATATACCACACTTCCTTTATCCTTTCATCTGCTGATGGACACGTAGGTGATTTCAGAACCTTTTCTTTCTAGCAAGGGTGACCCTCCCTTGCCCCAGGTTAGAACCTTCTAGGTCTCTCCACCTTCTGCCTGGTTAGCAGGACACTTGCCCTTCTTATCCCCAGTTTCTCTCTACTCCAGCTCTCTACCATCCCCAGACTCAAGTACTTATCGTCCCGAGGTAGGTGAGGTACTTCGTGTCAGCATTCCCTCTGTAGAGTGTGTCTGCACATAGAAACCCGGCCCGCCCTTCTAGAGGGCTCACTCTTCTACAGGGAAAGGTCCCTCTGGCAGCTGCATGGAAGGTAGTTTGGAGTGCTCACAGAAAAGAGGACACATGAAAATCTTCCAGGCAAACTTTAGACTTCCTCTCATTTGGTGGGCCTCACATTTCCCAGCCCTCTTCTCCAGTTTACTTGTTTGCTCACCTTCTTTCCATCCTGGATTGTTGGAGGCCACCCCTCATCCATCTGTCACTCCCAGTTTCCCTCAATCCTCCCCTCATCCCTGGTATGCTTTTCTGGTCTCGAATTCATTGTCAAACACATTGGAATTCCTGAAACAACTCCGCTTCCACTGCTGAGGTGTCACAGATAATTCATTGTTATGATGTGTGTGGAGTTACAATCATAAAAAGACAATTTTCCTAGGTGATTTATTATAATGGGGGTAGGCGCCAGGTTGTTTACCATTCAAAGAAAGAGTCCAGGGAATGGATTAAAACTTTGGGGAGAATTTATGATTAAACCTCAAGGTATCCTAATTCAGAGTCAGGACAGTTTTCTGCTTGAATAATTTCTGATGTCTTTGGACCACCCAGCTTGAACTTCCCTTGTCCTGCCCGTGGTTAGAAATCACTTCTAAGTATCCGCTCCTACTCAGTACTTGCAATGATCTCGCCCCTGTTTTGAATCTGATTGGGACGTCACGGATCATTTATAGATACTCTGATTCCAGTATTAAAAATAAATGGATTATAATTCTTTTACCATAACGGAGGGGGGGGTTGATTACAGCTTTTGATGTTATGGAAGGAACACCGTGATAGTTGTCAGAGCCCTGGGTCTGGCTCCAGCTCTGTCACTAGAATGCTGAGAGGTCCTGCACAGAGCAATTAGCTACTTTAAAGTTTGTTGATTTATTTATTTATTTTGAGAGAGAGAGAAGGAGAGGACCCCAAGCAGACTCCGTGCTGTCAGCGCAGAGCCTGACATGGGGCTCACAATTCATGAACAGTGACATCATGACTTGAGCCGAAATCAAGAGTTAGACTCGTTAACTGACTGAGCCACCCAGGAGCCCTGAGAGCAATTGACTTCTGAGCCTCAGTTTCTTCATCTGCCAAGAGAGCGGATTGGGCCAAATGCTTCCTTTGTTGTTAACCATTGCTAACATCCTGTGAAGTCATGCCCAGGATTGGACACACTGTAGGAGGGAGTGTGAAGCTCATGGGTATCCCTGGGAGAAATGCAGGGATAGGAGATCTTTGGTGTTATGTTGCCTCCATACTTATTCTAGCTGTAGGTAATAAGACTCCACTTTCCTGTCCTTCCTTTTAGGACTCTCCAACGAGTTTTACAGACTTCCTGGATGAAGAGTGCCTGAGAGACTGACAGTCTGCGTTCCCTAAGATGGAGAAGACAGATGGTAGGCAGGCCGCTCTGTACTCCCTGGTCTAAAGCGAGTACTTGGGTTGGAAAGGGATTGCCTTCACAGATCCTGGAAATAGCCTAAGGGAGACCCACAAGAGACATTCCCCAAATAGGCAGTGCTGGGAGACCCCAACCATGTATTTCAGGTATGAACAACAGAAGGTGGTAGAAGATGAAAAGTTTCACATCTGTGTCGCACTTGTGTAATTTTTGGACAGTTTTCTCACCTCTTCCAAGCATGGAGAAGGGAGCAGGATGCCCTCACCTGTTACCCTCATTTTTTTTTTTTTTAATGTTTGTTTCTGTTTGAGAGAGAGAGACACAGACAGAGTGTGAGCGCAGGAGAGGCAGAGAGGGAGACACAGAATCCGAAGCAGGCTCCAGGCTCTGAACTGTCAGCACAGAGCCCAACGTGGGGCTCGAACCCATGAACCGTGAGATCATGCCCTGAGCCAAAGTCAGACACTTCACCAACTGAGCCACCCAGGTGCCCCTTGTTACCCTCATTTTAAGGATAAGGAACTTGATGTCTGAGAAAGAGGCACAATACGGTGAAAGAGCCTTCATTTATCCCTGGGTGACTCTCCCTGTCATTTAACTCCTCTGAGTCTCAGTCCCCTCATGTATCAGTTAACTCTGCTGTGTCACAAACCAGTCAAAAATTTATTGACTTAAAATAAAGACATTGACTATTTCCCAAAATATTCTGTGGGTTGTCTGGACCATTGTTCTACTCTGATATTTGATATGTGCTGGGCTTATTCATGTGTTTGTGGTCTTCTGGGTGACTTGGCCGGATGATTTAGAATGGACATATTTACATCGCTGGTGGTTGACTCCATGTCACCTGGGGCACAGGTAATGATTTGGCCATGTGTTTCTCATCATCCAGCAGCTAGCTGGGGCTTATTCACACAGTGGCCGAAGCACAGCAAGCACAGCAAGAACGGACAAACCCCAGGGGCACCTGGGTGGCTCAGTCGGTTAAGTGTCCAACTTCGGCTCAAGTCATGACCTCACAGTTTGTGAGTTCGAGCCCTACATCAGGCTCTGTGCTGACAGCTTGGAGCCTGGAGCCTGCTTCAGATTCTGTGTCTCCCTCTCTCTCTGACCCTCCCCCACTCACACTCTGTCTCTGTCTGTCTCTCTCAAGAATAAGTAAACATTAAAAAAAAAATTTTTTTTAAAGAACAGATACACCTCAAAGTGCCAGCAATTTTCAAGTCTCTGCATTTGTCACATTTGCTGTTGACCCACTGGTCAAAGCAAGTCACAAGGCCAAGCTCAGGGTCAATGTGGGAGGGGAGTGTCCAAGAGTGGGGTATGATTGTGGCTGTTTTTGCAAACGGTCTACTGCCCCTCAGCTATAAGCAGGTATAAATACCTACTTCATAGGGTTGGTAAAAGGCTAACTGAGATAATGCATGCAAAGTTGTTAAGTAATAACTATCTTGCACAACAAATGTCTTCATAAATATTCCCTTCTTCCCCTGTCCAGGAAACATGCTCAAGGTTATAGAGGAGATCCGGATCTCCTGACTTTCTAATGAAATGCTTTTTCCAGATCACAAATGTCAGGAAACAGGAGTGCCTATAATCCCCCTGAATCACATGACCTTTAACCAGCACAGGACTTAGGGACCAGACGGCAACTCCAGCCCTGCCTCTTCCTTCTTTCCAAATGTAGTCACCGTAAATGTCAAGAGTCTGCCTTTCTCCCCAGAGAGCTGCCTTTTCAGTGCATCCATGGAAGTGGTCCCACAGAACACCAGCTAATTCTCTTAATGCCCTGGGGGCCTGTCATTCCTGCCTGCCTCATCTGTCCCCGCTCAGCTCAGCAGC